CCCCCCCCCCGGGGGGATGGCCACGCTGCAATCCCTTCTCCGCCATTCTCCTCTTGGGATCTTGGGCACGCACGCACACGCGCCAAGCGTGAGTTTTAAGCCACCGGGTCCAGGACATGAATCGCGGTTGACTACATGGGAGTCCAGCAACATAACCATTACGCTAACTGCTGGTCCCTAGATATTTATTCTTAAAAGGACCGACTCTTTGAGAAGAAATGTTCCTCTTAATAGTATTGATGTATCCTTATCCCCATATCTTGCTCACTTCATTCACTGCATTTGAGTGACCATGAAAGGAAGATTAAACCAGGCCATTCATTATGCCATGTGTTGTAGGATCGGAGAGAAGTTTACCTGGCTAAGAAAAAACTGGGAAGAGGGGAAATAAAGGCATTATCGTTCTTTCTATAATTTGGGGAAAATCTTGTGTAGAAGTAAGTTTAGGTTTACTATATAAGAAATAGGAGTTTTGAGTTCACAGAAGAATTTTCTCACATCAAACTTTGCAGAAATTATAAGGATTTTCCCTGAGAGAGAAAAATCTTTTCTCAGTAGAAGCAGGCGAAACCATGGTACCTATCAGGTGTTGTAAAGAGGGTCCCTAAGATTAGATGTGGAAGATAAGTGGTAACTGTGGGCTTAGCAACTTTCATAGCTTCTGAAAGTATCTGCTTTATGAGCAACATGCATTTTGGAGAAACACTATGAAGAAGATTAATTTATCTTCTCCATTTACATACTTTCAGGATGTTATGGGTTGAATAGTTGTCATAAACAACTTATTGTCATAAATAATGTTTTTATATTGAGCAAATAAATGAGTTAAATACCTGTCCTGAGCATTAGTCAAAGATGATGAACTAAGGGGACCAGCAGTTGGCGTAATGGCTATGTCGCTGGACTCCCATTTCCTATTTAGTTGACTGTGATCCCGGACCCAATGGCTTAAACTCATGCTGCTGGTGGCTTAAAACTCAAGCCAGGTGGGACCAGCAGATAGTGTAATGACTATGTCGCTGGACTCCCATGTAGTTGACCACGGTTCGAGTCCCGGAGCTGGTGGCTTAAACTCACACCGGGCTCATGTGCGTGCGTGCTCAAGATCCTGAGAGGAGAATGGAGGAGAAGGGATTGCAGCATGACTGTCCTCCCTGGGAGGTGATTTCTTGCTTTGTCTCTTTGTCTTTCTGGTGAGCACACGTGCCCTATAGCAAAACCTCAAAAGAAAAAAAAAAGATGATGAACTAAGATTTTAACTTGATACTGTCAGAATTCTTTTTTTTTGGAGAGGGTTTTGCTATAGGGTGCGTGCGCGAGACAGACAGAAAGCGAGAAATCACCCCACAGGGGAGATGACCACGCCGCAATCCCTTCTCCTCCATTCTCCTCTTGGGATCTTAGGCACACACGCACGTGTGCCCAGCGTGAGTTTAAGCCACCGGGTCCGGGACACAAACCGCTCTCAACTACATGGCAGTCCAGCGACATAGCCATTACGCTAACTATCGACATAGCCATTACGCTGCTGGTCCCATCTCAGAGTTCTTTAATCAAGCTTTAATGTTTTAAAATCAGGCTTTCTTTTTCTTTTTTTGAGAGGTTTTTGCTAAAGGGTGCGTGCGCTCGCCAGACAGACAGAGACAGAGAGATAGAAAGTGAGAAATCACCCCCCAGGGGGGATGGCCACACCGCAGCCCCTTCTCCTCCATTCTCCTCTCTGGATCTTGGGCACACGTGCACATGCGCCCGGCGTGACTTTAAGCCACCGGGCCCGGGACTCGAACCGCGGTTGACTACATGGGAGTCCAGCAACATAGCCATTACACTAATTGCTGGTCCCAAAATCAGGCTTTCTTGATAATTTATACTTATATTTTACTCTTTTATGTAAAGATTTTTGTTGTTACCTGGGTGTAGAATGAAAATTTAAGCAAGTTTCATTTTTTATATTTATTTGAACTGAGAAAAAGTTTATCTTACTATATATCTTTTTAGATATTGTGATTTTTAAGTTACAGAGTGTATAATTTAGTTAGATTTATACTTGATAAGAAATAGTCCACACATGCAAGGTGATATAATTGAGAGAAAATGTAGAAATACTGGCTTTGGAAACACTAATTATTGCTTGTGATCGTAGATGGATTTTCTTTTAAGTCAGCTGACCCCGTCTCTAGTATCAGTACATCATGACTGAAGCAGTAACGGACAATTGATCGTTGTTATTTACAGATCCTTTACCAGATCAGTCTTGTACCAAGTGATATGGTGGATGATACCAGTCCTATTTATCAATGACATGTATTCAAACTCTGGGATGACCAAAGTGTGCTAAAAAAGAAAAAAAGACTTAGTTGTTATATACCACATATGATATCCGTTCTATTGGATTTATTATTTGAAACTAATTTTGTTATATTACATTGAGCTTTTATTTGGAAAAAAATTTATTTTCTTTACCACTGAGAATTACTGCCTTCTTCAGCTGTCTTACAGTTTTCCTACAGGAAATAGTTCTTCAAGTAGTTGGTCAACAACTTCCTATTTCTTTATAAGCTGCTGAATAACTTCCTGAATTAGCATTCTATAAGATCTCTGTTTACAAGGAATGTTTTTAACTTCTCAGATTTATTTTTATTGAATATGATATCTTATAACTATGACCTTGTTCAAAGAACTTTTTTTTTTCTTTTTTTGGAGAGGTTTTTGCTATAGGGTGCGTGTGCTCACCAGACAGAGAGACAGAAAGCGAGAAATCACCCCCGCGGGGGTGAGGTGGCCATGCCACTGTCCCTTCTCCTCCATTCTCTTCTCGGGATCTTGGGCACGCACACACACGAGCCCGGCGTGAGTTTAAGCCACTGGGTCCGGGACTCGAACTGCAGTCAACTACTTGGGAGTCCAGTGACATAGCCATTAGGCTAACTGCTGTTCCCCAAGGAACTTCTTGTATATAATATAGCAAGTAGGGCCTTAAACCTTGATTTAAGGAATCTGATCCAGTGATTTGAAAAATAGATTTGCATTGTATTAATAGTATTGTTCTAGGGCAGCCGGCAGGAGGCGTGGTGGTTAAAGGCACTGGACTTCCACATGGCTGACCACAGTTCGAGTCCTGGATCTGGCAGCTTGCTTTCTCACTTTTCCTCTCTTTTTCTTGCTCTCATTTTATGTCGTGCTGCTTAAATTAAAATAAATAAAGTTACATAAAATAATTTTTTAAAAACGTAATGTTCTAATAATTATTAAATGATAATTTTGTTTAAGTT